TGGTGAATAAGCGTCTCCCCCTGTTGATCGCTCGAGGTCCATGTTAAACCATAACACATTCCAATCTGATCCGTGTTCTCACACAGAGAGTGTGAGAACACGGATCAGACAACATCTGCTATCTCGTCCACATTTGTTCACTTTTTCAGATTTGGAAGCTGAATCAAATCTGGAATCCTTTCAAGCCAAAACTACACAGTCCAGCTGGCAGCAACAAACACCTTGTGGGTCTGTTGCTGGTTTTCTTGGACATGTCTCGACGATGTCCGAGTCACATGTTACTGCAGAGGAAGAATGTGCAGTGGAATCAAGTAAAATCCAGGAGTTGTTAAAAAACAGATATTAACAATATTATTCAGTTCTTTAAATGGTTCTTTCTTATCTGCTCTGCACTAGTTTTGATTTGATTTATTTTTGTCGCAGTGATCTACATAAATACTGTCATGTATTTTTAATTCTGTTTCCCATAGACTTCAAATAAAGATGGATGAAAGGATAATTCCCAAAATGAAGCCATAGTGTCTCGATCGCCCCCTGGTGGCTGGCTGCAGTAAATGTCATAATTCTCCACGGTGAATGATGGGCCAAACTAAATGTATCAGAGCACACAGGTGGTTCAGGAAGTTCTCACTGACGTTGGTTCAAGTGTTCATGTTTCTGATGAAACGTCATGATTGACAGGTCTCTGCTGCACAGACTCTGACTCCAGATGTGCAGAATGTATTCAGGATATTTTGGCTTCATTTCTAGTCGGTGGGAGGAAGTGAAGATGTGTCGTCTGTCTTTATTTAAAATCTATAAAAACACAGGCGTCCTCTGCACACGAGAACCTCGTGAAGGGGCGTGTCTGTCGGTGTGACATCACTGTGGCTGTGTGACATCATCCGGACTCTCTTCAGATGCATAATCTCTCCATTTACTCTCATCTGCTGATAAATGTCCTCAGCCGACCAGTTCCACGTTATGTGTGTGTGAGTGTGTGTGTGTGTGTGTGTGTGTGTGTGTGTGTGCGTGTACTGAGGGTTAGGGGGATGTGGGGTGGAGTCATGGCTGTCACATTCTGTCCAGTCGGCCAAAACAAACACACCTGTCACCAGGAGGCCACAGCCAAACGGAGAAAAGTGCAGTTTGACTGACGAGAGCAAACAGTCGGCCGACCCTGCGGCTTCACGTCTCTCTGGGAGTCTCCGCCGTGTATTTCCTCTCTGGTTGCAGGAACTTTATCGTCCTGTTCTGGGTCGAAAATCATGTTGAACTGAGCCCATAAGTCTCATCATGGGAAACGTGAGGTGAACTCATGAACCTGCACTTTCCTGTTCTGGAGGAAAAGAAATCAGATTAAAGGTTTTAGATGATTTAATTTGCACATGCTGTTTTATACTGTGAAATATCTTGAACTTATTAGGTGGTAGAAGTCAAGCAATATGTTGCCACGAAGTTGGAATAATCAGTTTCTTAAATAAGATTTTCCTCCACTGGAACTTTTAACAACCTGTGAGCTGGTTTGAAAAACAATGTACAACAAAACAGCTTTGATTCTCCTTTTCATGCCAAAAAGAAAGAGGAGGCAAAAAACCCCCATATTTTTCTGCCATGTCTGTTTGTCTCTAACTTCAACTCTGCATCGTTCAAACTCATTCCGACATTTTGGTTGTAAGATAGTTAAAAATACTGATGTATTTTATGTCTCAGAGGTCGTGAGTGTAATTAAATGGGATAAAGAACAGCAACGTTTTTATTTTGGGTACATTATTTTTGGACTTGTGCACAAACACAGGAGAGTCCAGGAACAGGACAAAATAATATATACGACCAAACAAGCTCCCAGAGTATGGAGGCGTCAGAAACAAAAACCTTTTTTAATTTAACCATGAACCTTTACAGCATCTAAGTTGAAATAAATTGATAATAGTTTAAAATATTGGAATTATTTCATGTGAATTTAAGTGTAATTTCCCCTGCTGTGTTTTTGAATCGATGGAAAGTTCAGGCCTGTTGTGAGGACATGAGCTGTATAATGTGGGGCAATTACAACATGGCAACCTGCTGCTCAACATGAAAGCAAACAGGTTGTATTTGCCTCAGTTTATCACATTAATCAAATCAGCGGCAGCTCCACAGAAGCTGGTGTTTGTCAGCGGAAACGTATTCACACGCATATCAATCCAGACCTGGTCAAAGGTCTACTAGACCTGGCCTAGTAGTCAAAGGAAAGATGAACGAGAGCCAAACTGTTCCAGCTCCAGACGAGTGCAGCTTCTTCTTCTAGGAATTAACGAAGCATCAGACGCAGCGAGGACGGACAGTGTTTGTGTATTTGTGTGTGTGGGGGGGTAATATGAAGAACCCAGTGACTGTGCTGACGACCCTGTTATCTGTGGAGTTTGTGTTGTACACAATGAGCCTCTGTTCGCCTCAGTGGCTGGTTGAGACGGCGGAGGGGGCCACCGAGGGACTGTTCTCCCTCTGCAGCTCCTATGAGGGTTTCTCCAGCTGCACCACGTTTCCAGCCTGGCTGGGTAAGCTCCATGCGACGCCATCATTTGTTTACAAAATGTATTTGTTGCAGATGATTCTTTTTATTTGACCATAAAGCTGCTTTCGAACAAACACTTCTGGAGTTTTACTGGTTCCTATATCTACGAGAGACATCATGCGTGCAGACCTGAGATACAGTTCATCGTTAGCTGCTCTCAGACCTGCACTGATGTCCTGACATTCTCCTGAGATTTCCAGGAGGGAGAACAAAATGTAAAAGAGCTCATGGACACAACCTGCCACATGCACCCATTGGATGGTACATTAAAATCATCATCATTTACTAAATAGACATCAGGCTTGAAACTAGTCATTGTGACATAAACTTCTTAAATGTGTTTGCTGACTGAGGCTTAAAGTCACTTTAACAACCACAGGAGTCGCCCTCTGCTGGTCATTACACAGAAAGCAGGTTTCAGGTCCCTTTGCATTGGCCTCACTATCTGGAACCAGAGTCTATGTCCATGTTTATGCTTTTGTTCTTCGACGCATCGTGACCCCGTCAAACACCAGTTGTAAATATACTTGTATCGTCAGCTCCGACATTTTGAACCCTCTTGTTGCAGGAAGCTACAGTTTGTCCTGGATGTTTTTGTCTGTGTCGAGTCTGCTGTCTCTCACCGCTCTGCTCGCTGTCCGACCCGCTCTGAGCAGAGGGAGGAAGGCCATCGCCGCTCTGCTCCTCAACATCATCTCCAGTAAAACACAACACTGACTAAAGCTGCACAATCTGAAAGCATTCACACGCACAAAGGTCACTGAACACGTCCTTTAGTCAGAGACGCCGTCCTGTGAGTTATTCAACCTTCAGCAACAGAGTCCCACAAACACCTTCACTTGTTCCTGCAGATTCATTTCACGTTCACCTGCTTTAATCTGCAAACAAATATCCGTTCAGGGGATTTAGATGTTTTTAGTCCAGCAAACAATCAAATATCTGCAACAGAAATATTGTTCAATGATACTTCAAATCTTTATCATCACATGATATTCAGGTGTTGAAATCTTTTCTTGGTGCTTCTCTCTGAGAGGCTGACATCTGATATTTTACTGCTAATTTCTTCAGTACGTCATTTTGATTTAAATTATTCTTTTACAAAAAAGGAATAGTTAAAAAACACTCTTGAAGATAACATTTAAATACCTTTTCTTCATTAAAATTAGGTTTAAATGTTGAACTTTGCCTCTAGACAGTTGAGAGATTTAAACCAAAGCCTGTAAATAAACACGGGTGATGTGTCTCCACTTCCTCCCACCATCCAGAACAGAAGCTGAAATATGTCATCTTGTGCATTTGGAGTCAGAGTTTTTAACTTTTTAGTTTGGTCCATGTTCCATCTGCTGACATGGAGGAGGCAGGGTTTATGACCTTTACAGCAGCCAGCCAGCAGGGGGCCCAGAAGATGCTTTGGCTTCACTTTCGGGAGCTGTCATGTCGTCCATCTTAATTTACAGTTGTTTAAACTCTGGAGTAAAAAAGTCACTGATAAAACAATCAATCACCTAGTTAGTGTTTTAACTTGCGGTTGCTTTGCTGCACAGACGTTACAAATGCAACATGTTTACAGTTTTATAAAATATGAAAGTAAAACTCTTGTTATTAAATCTACGTCCTCTTCTGTCGTAGTCACGCTCTGTGCCGGCGCTCTCATCTCCTTCCTGGTGTCCATCGAGCAGCAGGATCCTGAGCTGCTGCAGCACCTGGGCTGGACCTTCTACATCTGCTGCGCCACCATCTTCTACGCCTCGCTGGTGACGGTGCTTCTGGGGGTCGTCCACGGCGACAGAGGCCGTGTTGATCCGGCGGTGAGAGGAGGGCCGGTGGACATGACTGTGATGGCGGCCTGATGAATCCAGACAAACTTCACAGAATACTTCTATAGATGTATTTATGATGTACATTTCCTCAGGGTTGTCAGGAAACTGTAATTTAACTTTTTCAACTCATCTTCATGCCGTCCCTCTGTGGTCTGTTTTCTGCTGCTGTACTTTGAACGTGTGTTAAAATAAACTCAAGGCTGCACGTCTGAACCACGTGCTGCACTTTACAACCTGCAGTCAGATAACACTACCACAAGAAATATTCACCACTGGATAAAAGAGACTGCGGCTGAAAGGAGTCAGGTGCATTTACAAAACCTCAGAAAAGTGGGGACAGCTTGATGACATAGCGCCACCTGGTGGTTGAAGTATTGTTTCATTTATTATGCAACCTGAATAACCAACAGGACAGTGGTAAAAACTGATTCATCAGTGAAACAAGAGTAACAGCAAATGTTTTATTCATCTGTAGAGATGTTTGTTGTGCTGCAGGGAAATGAATTGGTTTTGGCATCAGCCTGATTTTTATGCACAGAGTTGTTTATTATCAGCAAGAATGGACTTTCTGTAAGATCGTAAATAGAAATCTCTTCATCTCTGATCTGTCCAGACAAAAGGAGTAAAACAGTAAACTGACAAACTGAGGCAGAACAGATTTGATTTTAATTCCCAGACGATGAAAAACCCCAGAAGACGGAGATTGTTTTCCTAAAGTAACAAGAGTGAATTTCATGCATTAGTGTGTGTAAGCAAATCTCCAAAACCTTGGCAGATATTCCCCATTAAAGTCTACATTTATTAGTGTTAAATCCAAAACAAACTCAATAATACATTTAGACAAATATTAGTATCAGTAGTTTGCAGAATGTTTCATAATCCAGGGAATGTACTTCATATGGTTCAAAGGACGTTTGATAGAATCTGTTTTTAGATCAGGACAGTTACAAACATCATGTACATGATCATGTAACATGAAGGTAGCAACCAAATGCTTCACATATCGGTTTTCGTGTTCTTTTCATTTGACAACTGAAATTAACAATTATTCAAGAACATATATGGATTCCTCTGTTATTTTATAGATAAAAGAGCGACATGTAAAAAATTACCTTCAGTTCTATAAAATTGGGTAATACAGAGGTGTAATACGTGTAAGATGGTAATTCTGACCAGGACGCCATGTTGGAGGACAAACAACATGAAACACAAACATATGGGAGGACGTCAAACACAATACTGCAAATAACAAGTACTGACATCATCGTTTGTGTGTTTGTTGTTGTTCTTGTCGTCTTGTAAACCACAACACTGAAAGATGATGTGCGTCCAGGGGGACTCTTGTGTGTATGAGCTGCGGGGGGGGGGTCCAGACTCTTCCATCCAGTTTGGAAATGTTTGCTTTGAATTAGCAGCAATGATTTCCTAAAGACAAGAAACACATGATTAAATCATAGGATAGAATAATATGTAAAGTTAAATGAAGTGAACTTTTATTGTTTTCTCACAAACATTTTCCTGAAACCTTTAGGTCTGAAATCAGCTTTCATTCAAGGAGCCATAAAAATAAAACTTTGGGAAAGTAAATATAAATCTATGAGTTTGTTTGGCAGTGAAAATAAAAACTTAAACATCCTATCACCTGTTCTACATGAGCAGATGTAGACTCCTTCATTTCGTGCCGTTGTACTTGACCTCCTTCCCACATTTCTTCAGAGTCTCCATGAGAGACTCCACGTCTCTGTCGGACTCGATCCAAACCAGTTTCTTAGGCAGGTCGATCTCAAACTTCACATCTGTGAGCAGAGAAGACAAAGAGGCCCTTTGTTTAGTTCCATGAGGCGACAGCAGCACCATGGAAACCCTGCAGTGTCTCACATGTCACATGTACAGCACTCAACTGTACAGAGGAAAAGATTCACTGTCACACTTTGATCCTGAGGTGAATCTTTGTGGACTGATGAGCTCCGGCAGCGTGAGAGCATCCGAAGCAAGATGTTTAACCAAGGTGTGTTTTATCAAAACAACTTTCTCATTGTCACGCCACAGACTGTTGGACCGGTGCGAGCTGGAAAAACCCAAGTGTCACTCAGGCACCTGATGTTTTAAAATAAGAATTTATCATTGCTTCAGGTGACATAAGGATGACTCGACGTTCAGAGCCAAGAAGTCACGAGGTGCATTTAAAAACCTTTAACTGCACTTTCACTTTGAGTTCTCTGTGACAGCTCAGAGGGAGCAGCAGCGAGTCATGACCCATATAAACATTTATTTTTATTTAGCAATGTCAACATTGAGATGATCAAGAAACTAAATCTAAAACTTAGTTTTACGTGCTGGCAAATGATATATATATATATATATATATATATATAATTCTATTTCTGATGTTTTTTCATCTACCACATATTGACAACTTTATATTTATCAGCATTTGACTAGAAACAAGAGAAACAATGTTGTGCAGTTCAGGTCTAAGAGTAATGCAGTGGTTTGCACTGTCAGGGCCTTTGTGTGCGGAGTTTCCATGTTCTCTCCAGATTATTTAGATCAGTGAGTTTAAAGAAGAAGTAAACGAAGAAGAGGAAGAAGAAAAGGAGAAGACACATCTTGGTCTCACCTTCCAGTTTGTTGAGGATTCTGGTGACGGCTCCAGAACATCCTTCACACGTCATCGCCACCTCGAACTCGTGCTTCTGTTGGAGACACATTCAATCGTTCACTGACATCCCACGGTGTGTTTATAATTTATCACGTGTGTCATTACATTCATGGAACCAACAACCCAGATACATAGATGATCAATGAGTGGGGATCACATTCTGAGATCAGATTAGATCAGGAACAATCCAACAATGACACAACTAACGATCTATTCAAGATTATTCTGCCAGTATAATTGTTTAAAAGATAAAACTTTGGCTTGACTTAAGGTAAAATCTTCAAATGTCTAGATTTGTTTGGCCCGAAGTCGAAAAACGTTATATATTCAGTTTACATCTACATTAATATAGTACTGAAGGTATTGATCATATAACTATGAATCACTTTAACAATAATATGACGTTTATACACAAACGACTCATCTCTAAAACAGTTCCCACGTCAAACATGAGTAATCTCACGAGTATGACGTAAACACTTCACTTCTTATGTAATGAGATTTACAATGAACGTACTTAACGAAGAATCGAGAATGATCCTGATAATCGATGGAAGTGATCGGTGACTCATGAAACATCCAGCAGGACGGTTAGCATACAGGCTACTTAGCATCCCGGACGGGACACGCTGTTTTAATTCAAGCTAAACTTCCCAACAGTGACAATAGAGCTGGTTCGGAAACTCACCGTCATGTTTGAAGTGATGTCTCGCGGCCTCCTGTTGGATCAGATGTGAACTTTGACCTCGGATAGATTCTCAGTTTCTGCAAAACCTGCGAAAACCTGAACAAGAGATCACTTCCTGGATAGCATCAAGCTAACTGTCACGAGCGGCAGCGTTTCCGGTACAGAGGTTTAAAAAGATAAAAGAAATCAAAACTCTGTGTAAAGGTGAAGAAATGGTTGTAGCGCGATGGAGTCAAGTATAAACGCTTCATTCAATTATATGAGAAGGATTCAACGAGTAGAACTGTCATCCGTGAGAAAATGTATGAATGCAATTTAGGAAAAACTCCACTTCCGCTTATATTCTGAAGGTATTTTCGCAAACTTGACGTGAACCACCGGTGAGTTCCCGGATGTTTCCTTTTTTTTTTTTGCAGCCGAATTTAAAAAGAAGTTTTTATTTGTTTTCACTTTATTTATTTGAACTGATCCCACCACAGGAAGTGAGTTTCACTAGAAGAAGAACAACCCGCACAGACAGCCCGTGCAGCGCCGCTGCCGCCTCACCGGGCTGCAGCGGTGCTCAAAACAAGCGCCTCCATTCTGCTGCATGGTTTTCAAAATAAAGGTACGGTGGCCGAGAGAGCGCAACACACTGCCAATTAAGAAAACAAATGCTAATAGATAAAAATATATTTATTCAAACATTTAAATGAATGTGAAAAAATGTAAATAACTAAAACTATAATCATTCAAGACTTTATTTGGCATGTGCACAACAATTACATGCACGAGCCACACGAGCAAATAAGATATAATATGGAAAATAAACACTAGAGTAAAACATTTGAAATAAAACAGATAAAATAAAATAGAGTAATAAAATACAATATAATAAAATATACCCCTGAGTGGAATGAATGAATGAGAAGTAATACTGATTAGCGTAAGTTAATAACATTATAAACACATTCTATTGCATTAACATAAACCTAACGTTATTATTATTATTATAAACTTGTAGTAAATGTAAAAGTTTTGGCTTAAATCTAACGTAAAGTACTAAATACACCAAAATGTGAACGGTGTCTCCAAGGCAACAGCACGTAAATACGCTGCGCTGCGTCCTCCGCGGGTCACGTGACGCCGAGGAGCCGAACAGCCGAACAGCCGAGGAGCCCCAGTGTCACCTCCTCCTCCTCCGCCTCCGCCTCCTCCTTCTCCTCAGCCGCCGCCGCTAAGCTGAGCTCAATCAGCGGACATGTTTATCAAAATTACTGGCTTGCGGTGACAGCCTCCGGTGAATCCAGCCCGGGAGAGAAGACGAGGCCGCCGAGAGGTAGGTGCTCACCCGCGTAGCTGCGCGAAACCCCGGGCACAAACATAGCATTGGGAGGCTAACGTTAGCTGGCGGAGGGTTTACGGCACCTCGGCTAAAACAAGCTAGGCTAGCTCCATTGAATAAACAGGTTACAGGTTGTTCGCAGTGAGGAGCCGATGTGTCCTCACGTCCACGCGGAGAAGCTAATCCCGTCCTCCCGTCTGTTCTCGGAATCGAAGAACAGCGGCCCGATTTTAAAGACCCGTTTGTCTGCTTTCCAAGCACAGCGCAATTAATCATAAGCCCGGTTGATGGGGCAGTTTCCCGGCCTGATCCCTTCAGTCTGCCCCGTCACCTCCGAGACACGTCCCCCGGACTGAACAAGGTCCAGTGCGGGATCATCAGGTCTGTGTGTGGGTTCGTGTCTTTATACAAATTAAATACTTTAAAGAACTGCAGTAGCGCCGAGGAGATTACTACACTCTTGTCTGGTTCCTGGTAATTATTTACTTGTCATTTAACATAGATAAGAAAACCAACACGACATGAATTCCTAACCACGTAAATCTGTTTTTAGATCAACACAAATAACAGTGATGATAATCATGTATGATGAGATTGAGACATGTTTATTTTGTAGAAAACCTTATTTTTCCTCAGTTTTGTATGTGAGAATTCACATAACTTAATTTATGGTCGTTATATATCATATATACAGTATACATGTTGTATATAGCTCTTTACCATGGAGGTTGTGGTGTCATAGCAATTACAATGACAAGTCATGTCATTGTAAACAGAGGCGGCTACACATCACAAACTGGCCTCATTATAATAGTTTAATTAATCTTATTCATTTGACCAGATTTAGAACCATTTTTCACATTTCCTCTAGAGCTACACTGTGAATCACCTGCGAAGTGTCTCTTATTTACTTACTAATAATAATAATCATGTTATTCAAACATTAACTGCTTAATAGCTTTAGGTTCAGTTTTAAATCGCTGGTGAAATCAATTCCACGCCCGGCTATGTGAATTACCACGTTGCTTAGTGTTGTTCTCTCATGTCACAGCACAATCTGATAAGAGCTGAGCGGTTTATAATTCAGACACTTTGGCCTGATCTCAGTTGCACTGTAGAAATCAGCCTGGTTGTCTTCTCGCTGATCTTATCCTAAGAAGGAACTGTCAGGAGGAGTCGAGTTTCACTTTACTTTGACTGCAGTGTTTCTTAAATATAAGGTCTCACTGTGTAAAGTAATTGAATCATTAGTTCGCTGTGCCAACATGAAACAGAAACAGGATACATACTCGAAGGAGAGATTCTGACGCAGCTCTCCGTGATAGTTTTGTTTTGATTTGAGCATTGTTTTGCAGAAGCTTTATTCGATCCAAGGTTGAAGTTTTTTTGTGAAAATAGTTTTGACAAGTTGTTCGGATCTAGTTTCACTGTGTAAAGTTAAAGAATCAATAGTTGACTGTGCATATGTGAGATAGATACAGGGAAAATACTCAATTGATTCTACAGCAGCTTTAAAGGCCTTTGTCTGTTGCACGGAGCCTTATTTGGGTAAAAGTCTGAGTTCTTTCTGAACTCTATATACATTGACAGTCTGTGTCATGAAGATTAAGGAAGTGTGCTCTCCAAATGTGAAGTAATGGATGCTGGGAAATAGGAACAATTTTTTGGATCCTAAAAATGTCTGTATAGTTGGAACTTTTGGAACTGTGTTAAAGACACGTTGAATTTACTGCATGTGGTCGGGTTATCTATATTTTACTTTTAGTTCCAGCAATAAACGTCTTTCTGTTCTTTTATGTAAACGAAAAAACAGGAAGACCAGCATTGATTTTTGCTCTTTATTCAATGGACATTGCCAGTACAGTGGACAACATGACGGACTAACACGTCATTATAACAGTACAGTACAGTCTGAATAATAATGTTAAACCAAAAAAAAGACAAAACAAAGGCAAGAAAAATTACATAAAAGAAAATATTAAAAACACCTGTTAAAACCAGTTAAAATCAGGCATTAAAGGTTTGCATTAAAGTGATGATTTAAAAACAGGTTAGGTGTTGGCTTTTATGCTCAAAGAAATAAGTCATGTGAATAGATTATAGCTGCATATTAATCTTCTGTTCATAGTCAAACTTATTTCACCTTCTGCAGTAAAGTTTGCCTCGTGATCTCAGAATGACCATAAGTTTTCATTTTGACAGGCTCATCTGTGTCAGTGAAGTAAAACATTTCTTATTCAGGTGTTAATACATAAGGCTCATTTAACACTGGACCGAGGAATTTCTAATGACTGAAGACTTAAAGATTTAAACATTATTACTGTACTTTGAGCTTCACTCTGCAGAATCATAAATAACCGTAGTTCAACGTGCAACTTACATAAGTGGACCAATACTGAAAAAGGACGTTTTGCAGTCAAGTAGTTGAACTTTTGGAAATGGTTATAAAACCTTTCTATTTAGAATAACCTTATCAGATGCAAATAGTTCAGAACACTTTCACATGTCTTGATGGAATCGATTTGTAGGAATAGATAGCATTGAGTAATGTGGTGTCTGAAATGCCATGTGTTGTGTTCTCTTTGAAGGAAGTTGATCTATGGGTCTGAAGCCCAAAGGCCCTGAGGATTCGGAAGACGATAAATTTAGGCTTTCAGAGGAAAACTGAACGTATACGTTGGGGCATTAGATCACGGCTCTAACGGTCACTCTACATTTGAGCTGGCACCTTTCCCTCCCTGTTACCAGGCAGATGAGGAGGGCTGGAGGAAAGCCAGGTGTGTTTTTCTTTAGGTTTACGACGACAACTCTCATATATAAACAGGGAGTTGAATCTGTTAGGCAGAAGAGATTCACATTGGCCCTGGATCTCTCTCCAAGCAGACTGCAGCGCTTGTATTGATGCTGAAGTTTTTGTCATAAACCTTTGATACAATCAAGACGGTGTCAGCGGAGATTCCTTCATCACCTTCACATCATCACAACCCCAATATACAACAAGACTTGGCGTCACGAACAGGAAGGGATTTGATACAACAGTAACTTTGTGTCCATTTTGCAGAAGTTCGCCTGTGAGTGATCATATACTTGTTTCCCTGCCGACACGGTGACTATCGGGTTGAACAGTTTTAAATTTCCCTTTTTCAGAGATTTGAACAAAATATATGCACTTGACCAATTTGTCATATTGATTTTGTGATAGTGTCAGAGGCTCATTTCTCCAATTCATTTAATCTGTGATAGTAATCGCTTCACAAGGTGAGGAAAACAGTTATTTTACCACAACAACTGATCGTTTTTACAAATCTTTTTAATTTATTGTGTAGAATAAACAATATTAAAGCTTACTTGCATTGAATATGTTGTATAAGCCAGACGTTACAGCCTGGTAGTGGCTTTTAGCACATTTTTCACACTGATTAAAAAATTGCACTTTAAGTTACTGGTGTTAATCCAAGTTGATGAAATGAAAGGGACATGTTAATTTAAGCTCTCAGTCCATTGCCGTGTCTTCCTTTCATTATGAACACGATCATGTTTTTCTGCTGCTGAATCTTCCTCTTAGTTACTCTGTGTCTTCTGTTGTCAGGAGCTGTCGATGCTGGACTCTCTGATCCATCAGCATTAGGATCTGCGAGGCTGGGAGAGAGAGACGACCGCTCAGTCGTCCATTAAAACCAACTGACCCGAAATGATGGCCTCCAGTGATGTAGACATCCGAGGAGAAGGTATTCAAACCAGTTACACATTTTTTACATATGTAACGTTGCATTTTGTTATTGGTTCACAATCTTAGAAACTGAAAAGTTCTTTGTGGTGAAGATAGTGTTGACATAACGTAGGTCTGTGGACACGCTGCGATTATATGTAATCCCAGCTGGCAGGTAGACGCTGAATCACCAAAGCAGCTTTCATTTCATTTACAAAATCCCTCTGATGGAGTGTCTGGTGTCTTGTTTGACAGGATTTCTCACCAGCAAATTAAATACTCACTACATTGTCCAGTGTTTTTCTACCACTAATTTAGTCTTTACAGGAACATGTAAAATCTATTTTTATGGCATGCAGTTGATTTTCCGTTCTTGTTCATGCAGAATTTTGTGAGCATGTTTTTTCTTTCTTCAAACACATTTTCTCTGTGGTTTTTTTATCTTGTGTATTATGGAAAAAGCTGAATGGACATTTTGACCCTTATTGCTCTTTTAAACGTCAAAGTCCAACTGTCACATTTAATTATGTTTCTGCAAAAACACAGGGCACACAGTGATTTACAGTGCAGCTGTGTCTTTGTAGCAGACTGAAAAACATGCAGTGCAATTTCATTTTGACTTTATCTCTTAAAAAACATTTTTTTTATGTTTATAGTCAGCGAGCATCATGGCCATTGACAGTTCAGTGGGTTTGGATTATGGAGCAGTGGGTTTTAAAGATTTTCAAAGTTTCCCTTCAGCTTTAGTTTTCACACTGTGAGGAGACATTATTTTTCATCACTCCTACTCTAACAGCTCCTTTGTGCTTGTAAAAGGTTATAAGAGTAACCTCCAGTCAGAGACTTCGCAACAAACAGCCAAAAAAAACCACTGGTCATGTGTTCTTACAGTCAGCTGCTTTTACATTAGAGCTCTGTTGGAATGTCACCACCAAATGAAGTTGCTGCAAATTGAAGTCATGAGATGAGATTGTTTTTTTGCTGTGAGCCTGGTGCACATCAGATAAATAACCGAGTGCAGCTCTCTTCTTCAAGTTTCTGTGAGAAGAGGCCGATTATAGATATACCTGTAAAATTATTTGTTATTGAATCCATCACATGACTTGTTTGTCAAAGATGATGGTTTCGCCCCAGTCTGTTGGTTTGTTTATGCAAAAACTACTGAACAGATTTCCATGAAACTCTGTGGAAGGATGGGACATGGGCCGAGAAAGAAATGATTAAATGGTGTAATTCATGGATATCGCTGAAAAAATCTGACATCTTAAGGAGACGAGTGTGTGAAATGGTGCAGATCTGGATACAAACTTAAATTTCAATGGAAGTGGCAGAGAAATGCATTTTACTGAGTGCCATTTTAATTATCAATTACACCGTCAGGAAAAAAGCTCTAAAATCCCATCTGAAACAAAAAAAAAGAGCTAGATCCATCAAGTGTGACTTCAGAATGACTAATTAATGACTAATATAGGATCTGTTGGATGTGTAAAAAATAAATATTTGGCAATATTTCAATTCCGCGTTTTCTAAATGACTATAAAAATAAATGAAGGCATTAGTGGAATGTGGAGCAGAAAATTCCAGTAGTGAATATGGAGGGTGAGGGAGGGGAGAGAGGGGAGGGAGCAGGAGGCGGTCAAAGTAAACAAACCTGCCCTGTAGCTACATGGAGGAGCAGCAGTGTGTGTTTAGTGGACCAGAAGAGTGAGTACAGCTGCATCTAACCAAGAGACATTTGCATTTGCGTTTATGTGCTGTGTGTAGTTAGGTTTCACTGCTGAATTTCTAAATTGCATCATGTGCGTTATTTCTGTCTTTTTCACAGTGTAAACATAAAGAGAGCAAAACATCACACTGCAAACTTAAGCTACAATTCAAAGTAGTAAACAGTTCAGTCTGTAGTTATCACAACAAGCCTTTTAAATGCACATATTTCATGATCATTTGTCGCCTTTGTGTCTCTGTATTGTGTGTAATCTGTGGCATTTCTTTCTTTTCTTCTCTTTGTCATAGGGTCTTTGTTTTCTGACCAGAATCCATCAGAAATGGACGCTCTGTGTCCCTCACCTCCTGGACCAACAAGACCCCAACGTAATTATGAGAGGATTGGAGGGCGGACAGGAACTTCGTAAGTGTAACAACAGCATCAGACACTGAAAAGGTCATAAAATGTGGTCCATCTGGTTGTAATGTTAGTGTTAATGTGTGTGTGTTTCCTCCAGGTTTTGTCAGACTCTTATTCACCTGCTGAAGGGGAACATTGGGACAGGGCTGCTGGGTCTGCCTCTGGCTGTGAAGAATGCAGGTCTGGTGGTAAGTTCACAAAGTTTATCATCTTATCACAGCCGGTCACACGGCAGGTCTGGACATCACTCCTGTCAGATATTTATGACCTAATTCAGACTTGGTCCAGCTTGTAGACTCTGTACAGTGATCAGTTTGTCAGCTGTAGTGTTTGAGGGAAGGAGGTAGGAAGTAACTCCTGAGTAACAGAAATGTCAGATCAGTCAGATTAGTTTTACTCTTAGTTATGACGGTTAGTTTTTACCTTCCTCATTTTATTTTCACTGTCATCTCTCATGCACCAGGAACATTAGTTCAGAGAGCTGACTGGTCTTCACAGAATCATGTGAGGAGCTGTGGTTATAGTATCAAATGCTTTACATGTTGCACCGAAGTAAAACAGATGCAGAATATTATCCCAGTGTCCTGACATAAAATGAAAAAAGCCCTTTGCATTGAAGCTTCTACTGTCTGCGTTGTTCTGCAACAAAGGCTGATACATTTTCATGCAAAGTCAAATTGACAATAAAACTAATTATCTGATAATGCAACTAAAGTCCAACATTCCAGCATCTCCAGTCACA